GGCCTTGAGCTTGCAGTTCTCCTGCCTCAGCCTTCTGAGTTGTTGGATTACAGTTATGCATCACCATGCCTGGAAATACTAGTAATTTTTGACAACTGCTTTTTTTCTCTTGCTTCTATAAAGAATAGAATAGGCTAGGTTCAGTGATGTACACCTGTAATCCCCATGATTTGGGAGACTGAGATGGGAGGATTACAAGTTCGAGGCCATCCTGGACAACTTAGTGAAACTCTGTCTCAAAATAAAAAATTAAAAGAGCTGGGGATGTAAAAGCACCCCTGGGGCTGGAGTTGTGGCTCAGTGGTAGAGTGCTTGCCTCACACATGTGAGGTACTGGGTTCAATTCTCAGAACCGCATATAAATAAATAAAATAAAGGTCCATCCACATCTAAATATATATATTATATATATATATTACACACACACACACACACACACACACACTTGGGTTCAATTCCCATCAGTTACCCCACCAAAAAAAGAATTGAATACGGTTTGAATGTGATGGCAACCCAACTCCCTCATTTTGTCATGTATATATTGACAAAGCAGAATTCCTCAAGATGGTAGACTTTCACTTATATATAGAAGCTAAAAAAAAAAGTTGATCTTATAGAAGTAGAGAGTAGAATAGAGATCACAGAAATTTGAAAGGATAGGGAAAAGAGGGAAAGGAAAAGGATGGATATTAGGAATCAAATTACTGTTAGGAAGAATAAGTTCTAGTATTCGATAGCATAATGGGATGGCTATAGTTAACAAATTACTATATTTCAAAGTAGCTAAAAGAGAGAATTTTGAACCTTCCCTATACACACAAAAAAAGGTCAATGGAAAGGTGATAGAAATTCTAAGTATCCTGATTTGGTCATTATACATTGTATAATATAACAAAATATCATAATGTATCCCATAAATATGTACATTTTTCATATGTCAATTAAAAATAAAAATAAAAACAAACTGTAAGTCCTTGAAGTTTTCTTAAGAAATATGTTTTATATTTTATAGTGCTGGGAATTGAACCCAGGGCCTCCTACATGGTAGGCAAATACTCTGCTACTGAGCCACATCCCCAGTACTTTTTACTTTATTTGAGATGGGGTATTTACTAAATTGTCAAGGCTGATCTTGAACTTGTGATCCTCTTACCTCAGCTTTCCAAGTAACTGGGATTACAGGCTGCATCACCCTGCCTGGTTTATGGGAGTCTTTTGTTTGTTCACTTGCTTGCAGTACTAGTTATTGAAGCCAGGGCACTGTGCCACGGAGCTACATTCCTATCCCTTTTTATTTTTTATTTTGAGACAAGGTCCCACTAAATTGCTCAGCCTGGTCACAAACCTGCAGCCTCCACAGTCATTGAGATTACAGGTGTGTGCCTTTATGCCCCAGTTTATGTTTGGTTTTGTAGGAGTTTTAGACATAACAATCAATAGTTTTTTTTTTTTAATGCAACCATAGAAATCAAAATGAAAACAAATTTGTGGAGCCTGTGGTACTCCCATAACCTTAGAGCCTGACAAGTTTCTATTTCATTGTAAATCCACATGTTGAGAAAGAGTGTTAGAAATATACTTTAGATTGTAACATATTTCACAAACAAAGGATTACTGTCCAGGAGTATATTCAGGATTATAAGACTTCTACAAGAAAAAGACTAACAACTCATTCAACATCTCTAGCAATTAGAGAAATGCAAATTAAAACTACACTGAGGTTTTATTTCAGTCTAGTCAGAATGGCAATTATCAAGCATACAAGTAACAATAAATGTTGGAGAGAATATGAGAAAAAGGCACACTCACACATTGCTGGTGGGACAGCAAATTGGTGCAACCACTCTGGAAAGAAGTATGGAGATTCCTCATAAAACTTGGAAAGAAACCAAAATTTGATCCAGTTATCCCACTCCTCAGTATATACCCAAAGGACTTAAAATCAGCATACTACAGTGACGCAGCCACAACAATGTTTATAGCAGCTCAATTTGTTATAGCTAAGCTATAGAATCAACATAGATGCTCTGCAACAGATGAATGGATAAAGAAAATGTGGTATATGTATACAATGGAATATTATCCAGCCATAATAAAAGAATGACTTTATGACTTTTGCCAGTAAATGGATGGATCTGGAAACTCTCATGCTAAGTGAAATAAGCCAATCCCCCCCAAAAACAGAGGCAGAATGTTCTCTCTGTTATGAGGATGCTAACACACAGGGGATCAGAGAAGACTAGAAGTTCAATGGATTAGACAAAGGGGAATGAATTAAGAGAAGGTTGGCGGGATGGAAATAGGAAAGACAATAGAATGAATTGGACATAACTTTCCTACATTCGTAGATGAATGCACCACCAGTGAAAATCCACATCATGTACAACCACAAGAATGGGATCCTAGTTAGAATAAGTCATACTCCATGCATGTATAATATGTCAAAGTACACAGTACTATCATGTATATCTAAAAAAATTTAATTAACAAAAGATCTCAGTAGAAAAATAGGGAGTGGTTATAAGCAAGAAAAAAGTCTAACATCAAATAAATATATGCAAAGGTACTCAAATTCACCATTAAGGAAGAAAATTAATGTAAGAACAATAACAGGACTTCAAAGCCATCAGATTGGGAGAAAAAATTAAGTCTGAGATTTTCAAATTAGGGAGAATGTGGAATATGGGCAATTTATTTATTGCTAGTGGTTCTGTATTTGGTACAACCACTTTGGAAAGCCAATTGCAATCTAGTGAAGGTGAATATGTGTGTGTGTGTATACACATACACACACATGTGCACACACACACATTTTTATATCCTACAACCCATTAACTCCTTGGCATATATGTTCTAGACATAAATACATCCAAGAATATTCATTGTAGAAAAATAAACTATTATCTGATACTATCATATATGCAATTTATGAGTCTTCAAATTATGTGTCTCTTCCATAGAATGTTTGGTTCTTCTAGAGGCAGTAAGGGCTTTACTCTATAGCCTGAACTGTTTATTTATCATCTTGTTCAGTGGAGACCATAACATCAAGCCTCTAAACATAGCATTTCCATCCTAAGTTTTAGTAAATGGGATTTTAAAATATAATGAAATTTTCTTATTATGAATTTTTCCCATTATGCAGTAATTCAGGCTTTATATTTGTCATGATTTATTTATGCTGCATTTATTAATTCCAACTACTGATTTTTCAGAGAATGCAGTTATATCAGATTAAACCACTGGGTGGCGCAAATTCATGAGTCCAGGGAAAGTTCCTAACTTCCCAAGTTGCACCTATTGCTAAACTGTACCAAAGGAAGGAGGGCTGGGTAGAAGAAAAGACTTTTTGAGTCAGGCACAATATAATTCCAGCAATGGTGCATGCCTGTAATCCCAGCAACTCAGGAGGCTCAGCAATTTAGCAAGGCCCTAAGTAGCACGGCCCTTTCTCAAAATTAAAAAACATAAAATTTTTTTAAAAAGCTGAGTATGTGGCTTAGTAGTTAAGCAACCCTGGAATCAATCCCCAGTACCAAAAAGAAGAAAAGAAAAATCTTTTTGGACCTGAAGTTTCAATGTAAAATGGATCAATTTCCATAGATTGGATGATTGGTAAGTCAAGTCATAGAGTAAGGAAAAGAAAAAGATAGGGGAAAAAAGTGTTGGAATAATAAGGGAGAAGAGAAAGAAGAAGAGATATAAAGCCTAAGAGACAAGAATGTAAATCTAGAGAGACACATTCAAGTGTTACAGTATGGGTCAATAATTGCTGTATGGGTCCACGTTGATTTACATCTTCCTAGCAACCCATGGCAGCTTTTATCTGAAAATAGAAATTACTTCATTCTCTTATAGAAAATCATTATGCTATCCTTAGCTACCATTTGATGTTGTGACATCATCATAATTTAAGTGTCTACTATTAACATGATACTTTGCTCATAGAAAGTAATATAGACAAATTAATATAGACACTACAGCTTCGTGGAAAGTATGCATAAAAAATGAATAGCAACTCAAAGCAACATGAGGCCCATTGTGTGTATTCAGGAAATGAAATCCCTTTGGAGAGTGGGAGGGGAAAGGAGGACCATAGGACTCTCTTTGTCTCCTAGTCACAAATACATAAAGCAACTCTTCCTTGGAAAATGACACAAAGGGAAATGGTCTAGGTCAGAATATGATGGACAGTATTTAAAGGGGGTCTAAAATAAGAAGGGGTAGTTAAGGGTGGAGAATGATTAGGGCTGATGGCACCTCTGAGCCTATCCTTGCTTGCACTAACCTAAGGAAACAGAAAAGGAAAGACACTAAGTGCCTGCTCAGCACTTTCCAGAATCCTAGGTCACTCTGATTTTTGAGATCACAGTTATATCTAAAGAATGAAAAATGGCAAAATGTATAAAATTGTTGAATATTTTAAGTATTTTTTTAAATCAAGGAATGCTTTTAAAACAACCATACTATCGTGGCCATTAATGTCATTCAGCACTAACTTCAAAGTTTAAATTAGAGGTTTTGTGAATGTGCCTTCTTTGCCGAAGCAAATGTATACCTTAATCTTTGGACCTATCAAAAAAGTATTGAGGGGGGCTGGGGTTGTGACTCAGCAATAGAGTGTTCACCTCACATATGCAAGGCCCTGGGTTTGATCCTCAGCACCACATAAAAATAAATAAATAAAATAAAGATATTGTGTCCAACTACAACTAAAAAATAAATATTTAAAAAAAGTATTGGGGTGACATAGACACTTTGAAAAGTTGGAAGGACTTCTAGGAACTTTGAAAACTTGAATATAAACACAATAAATATGCCAATTGGAAATATGTAATAATACATTAACCGGAAAGGGGAATCAGGTTAAAAGTAGTAAGAAAAGTATGATATTGTGTAATATATGTGTCTTTTTATCATATCTATATGTATTTATAAACTTTCTGTAAAGAGATATATCACTGTCAGCAGTGGTTATCTCTAGAAGGAGAGATTAGGTATAACTTTTAATCCTTTATTCTTTATACTTTCCATTATTTTCAAAATTTTTAAAAATGAGAATGTACTTTAATAATCAGAAAAACAAAGTATGACAACTTTGTAAGAAAGAATTTGCAATAAGAACCATATACTTTGCAGAGGAGTAATTTGCACTTACATAGAAATGTTTTATCAAGTTGCATCTGTAATGGTGACACAGAGAATTGTGCCTGGCTCTGAAGCAATCTGAGACTAAAGTCCACATCCCAGAGTCCCCATAGGAGTTCTCCCTTCTGAACTGCCATCTCTTTGATCTCTTACTTTTCAAGAATCTCCACTAGAGAGGGAATATAGGATTCAAAGTTGTTAAATGACTAGGGAGTTAGAAAATCCACAGGGAGATCTTGCTTTGCCATGGGAAACAGATGTTCCCAAAGCAAAATACATAATTTTGACTCAGTGAATTTTTATAAAGAAAATCAATACAAATGTCCAAATTATACTCTTGCAGAAGAGTTGATAGGCATGGACTTTGCCACAGGTTTCATCTTCTGGGAAATTTCATGTTTCCAGATTAAGAGACATTCAGTTGTGGTGGGAAAGGCAGGGACATGTGGGGATGAATGCAGGCATTAATTCTAGACCAAGAGCTTCTAAGAACATGTTTTTAATAATCCTCCCAATTGGTCCCAGGAAAAGCAGGCACTTTCCTCCTATTTCTTTTAAATTTTTTAAAATATTTATTTATTTATTTTAGTTTTTTTCGGCAGACACAACATCTTTGTTTGTATGTGGTGCTGAGGATCGAACCTGGGCTGCACGCAGGCCAGGCGGGCGTGCTACCGCTTGAGCCACATCCCCAGCCCCACTTTCCTCCTATTTTATGGTCGAACTAAATAATAAGAGATGGCAGGATAAACTTAAGGTGATGTTGTGATTCAGTGGCAGGGTGTAATGTATTTATCCGAAGGCCACACCAGTGTTCTGTCCTTTCTGTCTGCCATATGTTCCATGTATGCTCTGTGGATCTTCAGATATTCTTTAGTGTTTCACCAAAACATGACATCACCCACGCTTTTGTCTCTTCTGTCTCTTCCAGGTTCAGCTTGTTCCTCTGCTATTATAGTACAGTTTTGAGAATCATTTTTTGGACAGTATTTGAAGTGAAAGAAAGAAGAATACAATGTATGTATGGCTTCTACCAGAGAACTAAGAAAACAGAATTACATAGAAGCAGGCACATATCACCAAAATGAAATGGTTTCAGAATCTTATGAAAAGAAGCAGGCTAACATCCACCATTCCCTTTTCCACTTAAACACTTCTTTAAGATCAGCTGTTTCCACTTTCTCACGAAACTCTTGCTTAGGCAGGTCAGACTCCATCACATCGTGGTCATAATCATTCTGCTCTGGAATCCTTATCCAAACTGTATGTATCACACTACTAAAATAAAATATATATCAGACCCACTTTAGGAATTCTGGATTGTGAGGAGACTTCACTTGAGTCTGCAGTCTCTAAGCCCCTTGGGAATGACTTATGAGGAGGGCTTTTGGAATGAGTAGGGTCAAGTTTCCTTCACCAGTGTGTTGATAGCCATATGCAATGGCAGAGGGTAAATCATAAAACCTGTGGACATTATTCTGGAAGAGCAGGACATTAGTTTGTAAGCTCAATGACAGCCAGTGAGCAGGAAGTCAGTTGTGAGGATAACGGAGGAGTTGGGATGTATGCCACACTACCAGCTGCCTTGCCCAGTTTCTTGGAGGCTGTGTTTAAGTCTTTTGTCAAAGAGAGCAATAAGATCCATTCATAGTACTTAGAGGGAAGGCCTTTGTTTTCATTTGATGGAATGGAAAGATATCCATTTTCATGGACATCCAAAGTGAATCACAGAGGCTTGTGGCAACGTCAGTAGCAGTGTGAGGGTAACTGCTCAGTCCAGGCTCTTCCTTCCCTGACCTGGCAGTACTGACAATAATGCCCCACCACCCCATGAAGATATAAATGTAACACTGGCAAGAAACTGCCCATATTGACTAATAATAGGGAGGAAAGAGTGGAGAAGAAATAGTGTATTCATTCAGAACAGAATTTTGCAAAAGTATGTCTGGTGCATAATAGTAATTCCTGTAGTTTTTTTCGCATTTGATGAGTTAGGAATGTCTTGTCCAACCTAAAGATTGAAGGGAAATATAAAGGATAATGAAAGATGTGAAGGAATATTTCTTCATATGTCAACAAAGGGATTGCTAAGTACAAAACCCCATATAATTCCAAGTACACTTCATTTTGCCTCTTTGTTACCCAATAATTACATAGAAAGTATGAAGAAGGTGCACATATGAATGAGAATTATAGCCCACTAGTAAAGTGCCATTCACCCCTTGCTTGATCTGTTTGCCCTGAATGGAAAAGGCCCTAAGTATGCAACTGGGGTGGATCCAAGATGCTTCAGGGATTCTGCTTCATTCCTGAACCAGGCCCAAACAATCTCATTTTGTTTTGAAAAGAGGCAGAGATTTGAACAGAGATTTTTGGGTCTGGCCAAATATTTTTAATAATCTCATTCCACACTCACCATAGCTGACCCCAGGTGCCATCAAGTTTTCTAAGTGCCTATTATGCTGTTATGAACATAATTATGATTTTTTAATCAAAGATTTTTCTTTCCAATTAGATTGTAAACATCTTTAACAGGGAAGCAGACACTCAGGTGTTCAGTAAAATTTTGTGGACTAGATGAAGGATTTAATGAATATTAGTGTAGCAATTAAAAAACATGGATTCTAGTTCTGTTTCTACCAGTGTGTGTGACCTTGAGAAAGTCACATATCCTCTCTAACCTTCTAATTAAGTATCAGTATCAGCTACCTACCCTGGCTACCTCCCAGAATTTTTGTGAGAAACAAATGAAATTATGTGTATAAAATTGCTACCTTATTACTGTTTTCATCCCCTTTTCATTCAGTAGCCTATTACGTTCATAGAAGTTCAATCCAAGTAGCTGCTACGTGATTACCTCTAATTCTGAGCTGGATGTTGTTGTCCCCTTCAAGCCTATTTCTGCCAATATTCAGTAGAAATGATAATGTGGAGTAAAGAACTAAGCTATACCATATTACAAAATCATGCTATTTGTATAGGATTGTCACCTAATATTAGGAGAAAATATTAACCTAGGCCAGAGTTCACCAAGAAATTGGCAGTGGGTGCCTGTAGCACTGTGATAAGGAAGATTGTAATGCCAGGTCTGAGTGGAAAGAGTGCTGTGCTTGATTATTGACATATGCACTTGATGTAGAATGGAAGAGTAGCAGTATGTGTACCATCCTGAACTAGATAATCTTTGAGACTATTATCAATGCTGTAATTCTACAAAAGTTTAATTTTTAAAGCCTTGTTTAATTTTTAAAGCCTAGGGGGCTGGGTTGTGGCTCAGTGGTAGAGTGCTCGCCTCGCACATATGAGACCCTGGGTTCAATCCTCAGCACCACATAAAAATAAGTGAATAAAATAATGTTTAAAGCCTGTTTGCCTTAGGGAACATTATTTGTCTTGAAGAAGGTGCCCAGCAATATCTCATATTGAAAGGCCAAGTCTACTCCTGGTAGGAAATATATTTAAAAGTTTCCATGCTGAGCCAGTGGTATGGTGTCTGTTTTAACCAAAGGGCACTATTAATTTATAATTGTGTCAGGAAACCCAGAGACAAGAAAAAGAAGAAAGTTGCAATGCCAAGTCTTCAAACTGTGTTCAAGAGTGGTGGTACCTAAATTTTACTTTACATAAGAATCACCTGGGGCTGGGGATATGGCTCACTGATAGAGCTCTTATCTAGCATCCGTGGACCCTGGGTTCAATCCCCAATACCATAAGGAAAAAAAGAAGAGTTACCTAAGAACAGGATGAATACATCTGTGAATTCTAAAGATTTTACAATTTGGGGGAGCCTTCTTAAAGAAGAACAATACAAATTTTAAAAGTACATAATCAGATGCATGGCTTTGAACAGGGTCATGGGTCCTGAAGCATAAGCTTCATTTATTTCACAGTAAATCCACCTATACTTAGGGAACTTTTTTAAAAAATCTTTAAAAATCTTAAGCTAGGCATGCTGGCATAGCCCTATGGTCCTAGCTACTCAGGAAGTTGAGGCAGGAGGATGGCTTTAATCTAAGATTTTATTTTATTTTTAATTTTTGGTACTGGAGATTGAACTCAGAGACATTCAACTACAGAGCCACATCCCCAACCCTATTTGTTGTGTTTTATTTAGAGACAGGGTCTCACTGAGTTGCTTAGCGCCTTGCTTTTGCTGAGGCTGGCTTTGAATTCGCTATCCTTCTGCCTCAGCCTCCCAAGCTGCTGGGATTACAGGCATGCACTACCATGCTTGTCAAATCCAGGATTTTTAGACCATCCTGGACAACATAGCAAGATCTCGTCTCAAAAAAAAAAAAAAGAAAAGAAAAGAAGATTCCTGGCTCCACTAGACATTGTGATTCAGTTTATCTGTCCCCAGAAGTATGTATTTTCAGTAAGTATCTCATTGGATTATGAGTGGACTGATGTTAGGAAAATAGCAGTACAGATATCTGACATATAGAAAAATTACCCACTTTTGCTTTATAACTAAAGCAGTTCCCAACCTCCCTGCACTTATATGTTAATCCTGTTTTCTCTAAACAAATGACATAAACCACACAGTGAACACCTCCCTTCTCAGGCTGAGAATCTGCCTGGGATTCAGCTGCCCCAGGGTGCTGGTCTCTCTTCTTTTGCCTTCTCCACAACTGCTGGCATTGGCACAGTCTTCTGGCTCCTAGGCATCGACTCTGAAGGAGAAAAATGACTGATATCAACTTTCTTTTTCTTTTTTTGTGCTGCTAGGGATTGAACCCAGGGCCTTGTGCATGCAAGGCAAGCACTCAACTAACTGAGCTATATCCCCAGCACCTCTGGTATCAACTTTGGTTAGATGGCTGATAAACATTTGATTATCTTCCAAACCTCATGCCAGAACATTTAAAGGAAATCATCTTTTTTTCTCTCTTTTTTCTTTTTTGTAGTACTAGTGCTCTACCACTGAGCTCCCAGTTCTTCTTATTTTTTATTTTAAGACAGGTTCTCGTTAAATTGCTGAGGCTAGCCTCTAATTTACAATTTTCCTGCCTCAGCCCCCTGAGTTGCTAGGGTTACAGGTATATACCACCATTGTGTTAGAACTACCCTTCCTAGAGAATGTCTTGCAGTAGTCAAAGGAACTCACATGGGGTGAGTGCCTCCTATGTGTCAAGTGCCTCTCACATAGGAGCTCTAATAACATGAATAACTGCATGCAAGGAAAATGAGTCCCATTTTGCAGATGAGGCAACTATAGTAGGAGAAGTCAATCAACTTTAACCAAATCACTTGGCTAATGAATGTGAGTGACAGATTTATCAAAACCCCAACGTCTGCTTTCCTCACTAAACCAAGCTGCCTTTGGAACAGAAGGAGGTCTTTAAAGATCAAGTCCCAGGACCCAGTATACCAGCAAACTTACAGGGCATGGGACTTCAAAAATGACACATATCATAATGGCAACTCCAGTGACCAACAGGGTGACAGCAATCAGAAATTTGACCACAATACTCCATTTCTGCCTTTTTGCTAGGTCCTCATCTGTGACTAAATGGAGAGAGAGAATTTGAGTAAGGGAGTATATTGACCCTTTGACTTGAAGTTCTCCTGGCTCCCAGACTAAGAAGGACCCAGCTTGACTCAGAAGCAGAGGCTATATTTCCATTTTAGACTCAGAATCAGGAGTGGGATGGGCACGATAGTCTCTTCTCTAACCTCTTTTGCAACATACACCCAACGAATCATTTCTCTGTATTTGGGATTCCATATCATGTAGGGCTGATTCTTGCATTCTCAGAGGAAGAGAAGGCTTGAATGCACAAGGAGTTCTAAGCTTTACCTTTCCATCTCAAGTCTTCTCAGAGTCCCTACCCACTTTCTCTGACACATTGTGTGGGATTAGAAAATCACCTTTTTTCTGTGCTTCTCTTGGTTTTTGTAGGTTATAGGAGGAACAAAGGTGAATTGGCATTGCTTCTGGATAATAAATCAAATCTGGGGTAAATGGCTCATGTGCATTTTATTATTTCTAATCTCATATTTACTTTTCCTTTGGTAGAATCTAGGATGTAATTCAGATTTACAAAATTCAAATCTTACAAAACTTAATTGCTAGACAATTTAGAGAGGACTTTCTTTTTTTTTCTATTTATTTTCTTCCTCCCTCCCTTCCTCCCTTCTTTCTTTCTTTGTTTCAAGTGTGTATATGTATGTGTGTGTGGTGATGAGGGTTGAACCCAGGGGCACTCTATCATTGAAGGACATCCACATCCCCTTTTATTTTTTTTATTTTGAGATAGGGTCTCCCTAAATTGCTGAGGCTGGCCTCAAAATTATGATCCTCCTGCCTCAGTCTTCCAAATCAGTTGGGATTACAGATGTGCACTAACACACGTGGCTGGGAGAGTTGTTTCTAAAAACAATGAGGATGAAAACATGCAGTTGGTTGGTATCACCACTGAAATAATTGCTTAGTATTTAAATGTTACCCACCTATGCATGCAGTGACTAGAATTATCCATCACATGAACAGAACTTACTGTATCCCCAACGCTAGCTACAAGATGAGCTCATTTGTGTGGAGGTAAAGGTTCATTGATGGCATCAAACTACAAACATTTCTGGGACCTTTTTTTATGGAGAAGCTAATTTTTACATTAAAAAATTGAGTGATTTTTTTTTTAAAAATATTTATTTATTTATTTTTAGTTTTCAGCGGACACAACATCTTTGTTTGTATGTGGTGCTGAGGATCGAACCCGGGCCGCACACATGCCAGGAGAGCGCGCTACCGCTTGAGCCACATCCGCAGCCCCAATTGAGTGATTTTTTAAATGTAAAGTCTAACTTCTCAAACTCCAGGAAAATCTTACGAACCCATACTGATGTTGGGGCTAAAAGTATTTCTTTCGTTCTTGTTTTATATTTCTGATTATTCTGTACCTTGTGTCAAAGAGCTAGAAAAATCACTAGTACTTGTAGTTTTCTCTTCTTCTTTATTCCCAGAAGTTGTGGAGGTGGTAGTGATGGGAAAAGTCTCTAATGACGTCCTCATCATGGGGTAGAACTTACATTGGGAGATCCCTGGCAAAAAAGCTATAAAACAAAAAGAAACAATGAAAGGACAACTTTCAGAGAAAATTTTATCTACCCTTGATATTACCTGACAAAACCCTTGTTCTAATTACCTGATAAACTTCTAACTGTGGCCCTATTGACCTGTCTGTCCATAGGTTTAGGGTGTGAGTATAAAATAATGCCAAGAATAAATGAGGATTATGAATTTGGATAAGAAGAGATATGGATTAAGTCCCTATGGGGCCTTTGACTAACACAGGATCAGAGTAAAAGAGTAAGCCATATCTTATTTGCCTATCATTCTTAAAGCTGTAATAATAATAAATATGGAGGGTGTAACAGTATTGGAAGTTTCCTTCTTTAATAAAAGTGACTCCAAAGTTCAAAGATGTGCAATATTATAATTTCCTGAATGGCTGCTGCAAATCTGTTTAGTGCATCCTTGGTTTACTACTGTGAGAGGGAATTGGGAAAGCAAAAGGAATGGGAAGATGGAAAGTCCACCCAGGTTCACATACTTCTCAATCATTTATTCAGCAGATGTCCAAAAATGAATATCTATTATGTGCCAGGCACTGCTTCAGTATTTTCTATATATTGTTGGATGAATTCTAGCAAGAGAGCAAGCAAAGAGGAGGGAGGGTTGTGGGGTGGGATGGGGGAAGCAGATAACAATGAATATAACACACATTATAGTATGTTAAGAGGCGATAAGTGCTACAAAAAAAAAAAAACACGTAAAACAAAGCTCGAGGGATGCAAATGGGCAACCTGCATTCTAGACTGTTTCTTTAAGAAATTGAGAATTGAGCCAAGATTTGAAGGAGTTGAGGGGATCCACTGAACAGATGCCTGGGGAAGTAGTAACCAAGCATATGGGAAATGAGAGAAAAGGCCCCAGAATGTGCCTGGTATGTTACAATTTTAGAGGCAGAGCAAGAAGACCAGTGAGATGGCATGGATTCAGCAAGGGGGACAATTGCTCCACAAGAAAAGGGTTAATATCACTTACGGACTCATAAGCTGGTTTAAGGATCTTGGTTTTTATTTGATTGAAATAAGATCTATTGTAAGATTTGGGGGAGAAGAATGACAGAAGTTTGTTTTGATCACTAGACTGCTGTGTTGGAAATGGTCTGTGGGGGGCAAGGGTAGAAGCTGGATAACCTGCTAGGAGGCTGTCAAAGAAATTCAAATGAGGGGTGATGTGATCCAGTCTAGGAGTGGAAGTAATGAGGAGCAGAAGGATTCTGGCTGTAATCTGGAACTAATAGCTTCATGTGCCTTCAGAATTGACCTAATCCAAATCAGATACTGTGATTCTTGTCCATTTTGATGGTCTTATATAATTGCTTATTAAAGTCTGTAAATTCGATGTGACTTTTCTAAATTACTCTCACATGTCCTAATTAAGTCCATGTGAAAATGATAGTTCTTCAGAGTCTGGTGGCCATAGACCAGGCAAGTAATAGTTCCTGATTTCAGTTGAATTAGGAAGACAGTGTGGGCAGAGAGGTAGAGATAGACTTAAAAATCAACAGGTTCAAAGGAAAAAAATGAAAGAAATTATGAAGTGATAACATATACGTTTATAAGAGAGATGATGGCTGGGAATATAGCCCAGTTGGTAGAGTGCTTGCCTCTCATGCACAAGGCCCTGGGTTCAAACCCCAGATGAAAATAAGTAATTTATCTCACTTTGGACAAGGTACATAAATTCTCTGAGTTTTGGTTTTCTTAATCTGAAAATGGTACAAATAATACTTCGTATATTTGTTTCTCAAGGATGTTATAAAGATCAGAAACAAATAAAAATGAGAAAGTGGGTATAAAAACACTTTGCAAATTGAGTGATATTATGATTGAAAGAAGAAGGAAAACCTAGAGATTGTCTCTTTAAGTGGAAGAATTCTGCCTTCTAACCACAGGGATAATGGATTTCATTGTGGCAGATGTTCCTTCCTCCTGGGAACCACTGCTTCAAATTCTACTAAATTACTAAATAGGCTTCATCTGTCAGTATATTTTCAGCCTACCTTCTATCTTCTTTTTTTTTAATAATTATTATTTTTTTTAAGAGAGAGAGAATTTTAATATTTATTTTTTAGTTTTCGGCAGACACAACATCCTTTGTATGTGGTGCTGAGGATCGAACCCGGGCCGCACGCATGCCAGGCGAGCGCTCTACCGCTTGAGCCACATCCCCAGCCCTCAGCCTACCTTCTAAATGAAAGTCCATTGGCAGCTCATCTCTTTCAGGTCTCATCTGTTAGGTTTTAGCACCAAAGTGGAGCAGGGAGTTTGTAAAAAAAAAACACTTTATTCCCAGTGGTGATGGAATTGCAATATTAGCTCCCCTCCCCATCCCCTATACTGGGGATCGAACCTAGGGGTGCTTAACCACATCTCCAGAACTTTTTTTTTTTTTTTAACTTTTCATTTGGAGACAGGGTCTCACTTAATTGCTGGGGCTGGTCTCAAACTTGCCATCCTCTTGCCTCAGCCTCCCAAGTTGCTGGGATTACAGGCATGTGCCATCATCCCTGGATCCCAGCCCTTTTCATTTTATTTTGAGACAAGATTTCTTTGAGTTGCCCATGTTGGTCTAGAACTTGTGATCCTCCTGCCTTTCCCTCCCAAGTAGCTGGGATTACAGTCATGTACCACCACACCTGACTGGAAAGTTTCTCCTCTTAATTAATGTAGAATCTGAACAATAAGGAACTAGGAAATATAGACTCTGTCATCAGTGATAAAGACCTAGTGAGTAATTTTTCTCCACAAGAAGGAAATTTCAGAATATTTGTAACAGAGGGTCTTTCCTTTGACTAAATTCTATAAACAGCAACTGTCTCCTTCTTTCTGTTTTTTCATTCTTTGTCCACCCATGTCTTCTGATAACATTGCAGAATATTCCCATCCTTCTGGCTTCAAATTCTTGTTTTATATGAGGATATTTTCATGAACTATCTTGGACATCCTCCTATGTAGACTTATCTCATCACAGTGCAGTCATTCAGAGTGCATCTCTTTTATGACCCTTGTAAATTTGTATTTACCTAATTTTTATTTCTATCCTATTTGAGACCTGTCACATACTGGTAATCAAATTGGTGTAAATTCAGAAGAAGCAGTTTCAAACTTATAAAAGAGGTTATGATTCAAAAGTTGTTTATACTTTCTAAAACTCTTGTTTTACATTGTTTGGGATTCATCATTATAGTTTTATAGAAATATATGGTGAATGATGATTAGGTTCTCAGACTACTCCTCCATTAAGTCTCTTCACATGGCTCAAATAATATAGGGTATACTTTAAATTCTGAATCCCAAAACCAACCACCCTCATGAAGGAAAGCTGGAAGGCTTGCTCAGGGCAAATTTTTTAATTAGGTCAGGTTGATCTTTGGCATCTCTCCTTTTCCTTAACCTCCCAGATTTCCTTGTTTAGAATTTCTAAGAACTAATGTCTTTAATTTCCCAGAGCTCCACAATGCATAATATTATGTTTATTCTACCCAAGCCCTGTTGACTCCAAAATGACATAGGCCCACTAATTCTCCATTATTAGTACCATGGAATCAAGCAGGGTGTCATATGTTAAGAGGAAAACAATCTGATTGAATTGATATTGAATAACAGAAAGTCTAAAATCCTGCTAAAGGGTTTTGAGTTTTTAAGAGTTTATTTTTTTCTTCATACAGTCAACACTGGTAGAATTTTAGAAAGTATAATAAAAGTGAATGTAACATTCAAGTCATGTGAGAATATATAATTTACCATAGCTAGGTCATATCCTGTGAGTCTATCCACTTACATCCCAATCTCTAGTTTTTAAACTTGTTTCCCTATTATTTTACTTGTGAACCCTTCAGTTTCTCTAAAAATGTCAAGTTTTATTTTTCCAGCAGTATAGCAGCAGCCTCTAAGGGATGGCCTGTATATAAAGGGGGGAACTGTCTTGGTGAGAATATCTCTTGGTGAGAAACTACTTGACAAAAAGAATGGGTAGAAAAAAGAAAGGAGAGCAAAAGCAGAGAAACTGAAGACTGAGGTCACGAACCACTGCCCAGGCTGGACGTGGTGTGGCACACATCTATAATCCCACCTGCTTGAGAGGCTGAGGCAGGAGGATTGTGAGTTCAAAGCCAGCCTCAGCAACTTGACAAAGCCCTACACAACTCAGCGAGACCCTGTCTCTAAATAAAATATACATTTAAAAAAAAAAAGGCTGTGGATGTGGCTCAGTGGGTATACCTAGGTTCAAACCTCAGTACCAAAACAACAACAACAACAACAAAAACAAAGCCACAACACAACAACAACAACAAAAACCCTGCTGAGTAAATGAGGGGAAACAAGTATTCTCACACAGTGTAGGTGGGAATGCAAAATATGACCACGTCTGAGAAGGGTAACTTAGCAAAATCTTATAATTTTTTTATTTTCTTTTCTATGAAATCTTTGATGCAGCAATCCTGCTTCTTGGAATTTATCTTCTTGCTAAATGGCAAATACAAAAGAAGAATGTACACCATCATGGCCTACAGCATTGTTTGTAATGGCAAAAGACTAGAAAAACCAACATATTCATTAATATAGGACTGGTAGAATAAGTCATGGTACAGCGACACAATACTGTACAACTGCTAAAAAGAACGAGGCAGGAGCCAGGGGTGGTGGCATACTCCTGTAATCCCACAACTCTGGAGGCTGAGGCAGAAAGATCCCAAGTCTAGGAAAGCCTCAGCAACTTAGCAAGACCCTGCTCAAAATAAAAAAGGCCTGGGAATGTAGCTCAGTGGTATAGAGTACCCCTGGGTTCAATCACCAGTACCACACACACACACACACACAGAATGAGGCAGGACTGGGAGTGTAGCTCGGTGATAGCCTTGTGCTCAGCATTTACCTGGCTTGGCCCTGGGAACAAGAGTACAATGTCTAGCACAAAAAAAAAAAAAAAAGCAGATATAATGACATGGAACAAACTATAAGATGTATTGTTAAGTTGAAAAAACAAGGCACAGAACAGTATGAATTGTGTGCAACCATTTATGTACATTATGTACATTATTATTATGTACATTATGTACATTTATGTACACCCATACATGCTTAGAGCATCTCTGGGAGGAAATAGAATAGGTTGAGTAAGTGGTTTCCTCAGGGATAGAGAACTGGAGGAATAAGAGAAAGGAATAGAAGGGAGACTTACTTTTCACTGCAGTGTGCTGTGTGAATATTTTACTGTGTGTATCCAAAATAAATTAAAAATTAAAAATATTGTCAAAGAAGACTTATAAGAAATGAAGATCATTTGAAAAAACCATAGGATACCAGGGCTACAAGGGATCTTTGGGATTAGAAAATTGGTTCTCAGAGAAAATAAAGATTCACCTAAGGGGAGGATAATCTATTTCCTTGTGGCTTTCTTTAGCTGCTACTAAGCACCAGCTGCTATGTCAATTAAAAGTGCATACATCCATCTCTTCCAATCTCACCTTTGCCTGTTAGAATGGATCCAGTCTGTAACTTGGATGTGGGGATTAGGTGACAGCTTGGGGAAGCAGAGCTGTTTCTATGGGGAGCAGCAATGACTCTTAGGTTCTTCAGAACAGGTTTGACTTCTGGCCTCCCCTCCAAGTACAGAAGGTTGACTTTCACTTTGCTCCCAGAGCCAAGGCACTGCAGTGTAGCCATAGTCTGATTTTGGATGAATGTGGCCCTTTTGGCTTCTGTGTGAGTTTCTGAAGGAAGAGCCAGAGAGAACAATGAAGCTTTTTAAAAATATGAACAGTGCCCAGCTAACTCAGTTCCATTTGTGAACCCTGTTAAACTCCATTGCTGCACTTTCACCTCTTTCTCAGTATGTATTTATGACACTAAATAATGCAAGTCCTGCTTTTCTTCCATCCTGCTATAGGTTCCATAAAGATAGGTGACTGCTGTAAATTCAGCACAGAGAAATGTTCATAGATTGTTTTCTTTAATTCGATGAACAGGTGCTGTCTCATCTTTCTTTGTCCCCATCTTTGATTTATATAGGCATGCCTTAATTACTAAGTGAATTTAAAGATTAGTTTTCAGAAAATCTCCACGGGGAGGGGATACATATCTTTAAAATAGTATATTTGAGATCTGGGCTAAGAAGGGAGGAGACAAGGCACCTTTTAAAGACAAAAATTTCTTGGTACGGAAAAGTGTTTTTCTAGATAGAGCCTGTTTCCTACCTTGCATTAGAAATTCCCTCATGCTTTTCACATCCTTTGGGAAGAGCCCAGGGAACTGTTCCACTTGGCAGCTGCTTTCTCTGAGGTCTAGGGGAAAAAAAGGTCAGAATTTATTGGTACTTACTTGTTGGAATTCTGGGCATAGGAGAGGGATACAAAAGAATAAAGTTCCTACTCATAAAACTTGCAGCCGGGGAGATTAAATACTGCCTATAAAAAAGACTTTAAAACACACAAATGCATACAAGTAAGAATTAGCCTATTATAAAGAAAACTGAATACCAATCTACTGCTCTTAGGACAAAGAAAAGTGAAATAAAGTTACCAAGTTAATGAAAGAGTAACTAACCTATTCCCTAAAGGAAAAATGATGATTTCTCTTTTCCCTCTTCTTCTGCCAACTGTATTAAAGAGCACGTTTGGAAGATTATTAAGTATTGCCTTGGACATTTTATCTCTATGGATTTTCACAGACTCATAGATCATAGTTATCTGTGCATTTTGGCACACATGTGATTTACAGGGTATAGGAATTTTCATAATTTGTTATATTTGGCAACTACCGCACCATCCACTATTTTCCTTAACTCTAAATAGCTAATTTTAGAGATGAAATGTTTAGGAAATGCTGAAAAGCCATATTTTAAATAAAGTTACCAAAGAACAGCATATAGTTTCATTCCACCCTCAAAGTACCTTTTCCCTCAACTCTCCCTACCCACAGCACCCTGTCTAAATATGTGGACATGCCACCTTAAAAATGAAGGCAACATGAGCTGGGGCTATAGCTCAGTGGTAGAGCACTTGCCTTGCACGTGTGAGGCACTGGGTTCGATCCTCAGCACCACATAAAAATAAATAAATAAAATAAAGGCATGCAGTCCATCTACAACTACATTTTTTTTTAATGAAGGCAATGTCTTATAAGGAATTATGAATTTGGGTGTCTTAGGTGGGGACAATATGGAAACTGTGACAGCATGCTTTCATAAAGAAAGATAACAGTGAAAGGACTTTTAATGTTAATTACATGAGCCATACAGGAGAATGCATTACATTCACATCATGAATAAGTTGAGTAAGTTGCAATCCTGCTTAAAGGCAAGAGGACGTATGGTATAACTTCTGGAAAGTATCACTTGCTGGGTATTGGCTATTTCCCTTCTGGTGGAAGAGACTCAAAATATTTCTTAGGCCTCTCTTTTCCATGATATTATCCTACACAAGTACTTACCTTTCTTGTTGGAATCATAGGATACAATGATTAGGCTGAAGACTAAGATGGTATCCATGTTAGCTTGAGCACTCATGACAAAGATAGTCCACTGTTAATCTGTCATTGCCCCTTATACTCTTGCTGTAGTTGCTTTCACTTGCCCTGAAACCAGGTTTCACCCTGTGAGAGTCTGGTTCCACCCTAATTATTTTGTCTTATTTCCTGAAGACCCAGGAATAGAGCTGATTGGAGAAAGAGTCAAGTCTGTTTATTAATGATTGACTTGGAAGGTCTTCCCCTGACTTTACTGCTGGGTGCTGACACAGAGAACTGTAATTACCTAGAGGTTTCCCTAGTATAAAGGGTATAAACATCCAGTGATATGTTCACTGACATTTGCAGATAGACACGTACACATTCAATACATGCCCACTGATACAGGCACAAAGATACACCAACATAAAAGGATGTGGAGATTTCTATTAAGGAATGCAATTTCTAGAGAGAACAAGAAAGTAGGACAGAATGACTCAGTGACTTACACTGGAGAGAGAACTGGAATAGGAATCAATATAACTGGGTTCTAGGGCTCTGTTATTAACTATATCACATTAGGAAAATTAATTAAATTTTTAGGATTTAAATTTTCTATAAATGGAGAGTCCAAACAAAAATATCTCTAGAATTCATTCACAGTTATACACATAAATTCAAGAGCACAGATGTAGCTATCAAGTTTTGCATATTGTCACACTCCTAAATAGTGAAGTAAGTATAGGTTAACATTCCTATGATTAATGGGTTAAGAGGTGAAGAGCTAAATACGATAGGTGAGTGATATAGTTTGCAGTTTGGAAAAGTTTTCCTAGACAAGTAAGTGATGTTGAAGATTTTTCCAAAATTGCATCTTTTAACAAAGAGTATACACTTAATGTAATACTTTAAAGACTTTTTGATGGTGTAGCTAAGTAGATCATAAAGGAGAAATGAAGATTACTCAGATACTTGCCGAAGTCCAGAGCCTCTGCAGCCTTTCTACCCACTGTAAATGTCCTCCAATGGAGCCAACATGGGTTTAACCAGATATGAGAGGCTCTGGAGGCTGAAACTGATTGGTACAGTTATAAAGGGAGCTTGGTGCAAAAGACTTTCCAGGAGGGGCCTTATGAGATTTCAATCAAATTTCATTTAAATACCACCCTGTCTCATGACACTTTAATACAGCTTGAAATCTGGCTAAAATGAGCATCACAGAAGTCTTTGTGGGGAAAACTAAAGGGAAGGAATGTTACTGCAGGACATTTTAGCTGAAAGTGGAAGAAGAGGAAGTGGTGGGCATCCAGACACAGAGCAAGCCACTCCCTTCCCTCTCCCCAGTACTGTGGATTGAACCCAGGGCCTAGGCTTTCTAGGCAAGAAATTTACTGCTGAACTACATCCCCAGGCCCCACACCCTTTTTAAAATGTTTTTAGTTGTAGATGGACACAATGCCTTTCTTTCTTTCTTTCGTTTTTAATGTGGTGCTGAGGATCAAACCCAGGACCTCACACATGCAAGGTAAGCACTCCACTTCTGAGCCACAGTCACAGCCCCCTTTTTATTTTTCTGAGATATGGCTTCACTAAATTGCTGAGGCTGGCCTCAAACTTTCAGTCCTCCTGCCTCAGCTGGGATTACATCTGTGTTCTACCACACCCAACCAGAGCAAATATTTATTAGTATTGTTCCCTTTTTCCCTGCTACAGTTGCCTGATACTCTTAGCACAGGAGGAGATTAGGGCAAAATAAAGGGATCCATTGCCTCTCTTGGGTTTTATGGTTTTTCTTTACTGTTTTCTTAACATGATTACATGGTTCTCTACTCCTTTGTGATATTGACCTCACTGTTCTATTTGAAATTTTCTGTAGATTAGTTCCTAGATGCCACATTGCAGTACTGCCACCTTGTAGTTGTGGTAGGAATGATCTGAGGGCTTGATATTCTCACCTGTGACACAAGGTGGCAGAAGAGCTCACTTTTACCAAAAGAGACCTTATGCTTGGGGGAAAATAAAGTAGTTTTCTTTTATCAACTCTCAGATCCTAACTCTTCCTTTTGTAATTTGGAGGCCCAAAAGGTGGCCTGCATATTGAAGCAGGTCGTACTGTGAGGAACAGAGAATCAGGAGAGCTGCAATTAATAAGGAAAAAAAAATAGTGGTAGAGAACTAGATCCAGAACTACTTCTCTACAATTTTTTTTTTTTTGGTGGGGGGTGGGAAACAAGGATTGAACTCAGGGGCACTCGATCACTGAGTTACATCCCCAGCTCTACTTTTTTTCTTTTCTTTCTTTCTCTCTTTTTTTTTAATTTAGAAATAGGGTCTCACTGAGTTGCTTAGAGTCTCTTTTTGCAGAGGCTGGCTTTAAACTTCAGATCCTCCTGCTTCAGCCTCCCAGGCTGCTTGGATTACATGTGCCACCACACCAGCCAGGCTCAGCTGATTTTTTAATTGTTTGATATGTCTGTGAAGGAGAGGATATCAATTCGGATCTCCTACACACACACACACACATACAGAAAGAAAGAAAGAAAGAAAGAAAGAAAGAAAGAAAGAAAGAAAGAAAGAAAGAAAAGAAAGGAAGAAAGAAAGAGAAAACACATCAAATTTGGAAGGAAACAAAGATATAGCAAGTGAGTTTTATGATGTGTGATGTATGCAGTCCAGAGATGTGACTGCTGGAAGAGAGGAGAAAACTAAGGCTGAATGTCAGAGTGTGTCTGGAGGAGGAACCCGATAGGAAGAAGGCCCACCTAAGTTCTAGTTTAGATTCCGTAATAAACTAAGTCACTTGAACAAGTCACTTAAACTCTCTGGCTTTTGTTTAATTTTCTTTAATAAGTTGGTTGGGGGCTGGGGATGTGGCTCAAGCGGTAGCACGCTTGCCTGGCATGCGCGCGGCCAGGGTTCGATCCTCAGCACCACATACAAACAAAGATGTTGTGCCCGCCGAAAACTAAAAAATAAATATTAAAATTATTTTTTTTAAAATGAGTTGGTTGGGAAAAAATGGCTTCCTAGAACTCTCTTCCAGCTCTAAAATTATCTTAGTTCACTTACCTACTCTTTCTTTTAAGGGTGTGTGTCTTCTGTTTTTTTTTTTTTTAATTTAAAAAAATTAATGGTAGAATATTTATAGAACAAGTATATTTTAAATAATAATAATGATACTAATAAGTTAAACACCATGTATTCATCATTATTAAGAAACTGAACATTGCATGCTGGGTGCAGTGGCAAATAAATGTAATCCCAGCAACTCTGAAGGCCGAGATAGGACGATTGCAAGTTCGATGATGCCAGCCTCAGCAACTCAAAGCGAAACAAAGACCTGGGAATGTAGCTCAGTGGTAAAGTGCCCCTGGGTTCAATGCCCAATATAACAAAAAAACAAAAAGAAAGAAAGAAAGAAAGAAAAGAAACAAAGAAAGAAATTGAACATTGCTAATGTCTTAGAGGCTCTTTATATGCCTGTCCCTTTGTTCACACTCTTATCTTTTTCTCAATTTTGTCTTTTTCATGCTTTATAAAAATACTGAACTATCACTATCTATGCATCACCAAAAATATTGTATATTTTAAATAATAATAATAATAATAATAATGTCTGATTTTGAACATTATATACTACTCTTTATTTTATCTGATTTTTTTCAAACATTTTTATTTTTAAATTAACACATATTAGCTGTACATATTTATGGGGTACAGTATAACATTTCAATACATGTACACAATGTGTAATAATCAGATCAGGGCAATTGGCATATCCGTCACCTCAGATGTTTTATCATTTCTTTATTTTAGGAACATTCAAAATTCTCTCTACTATTTTTGTTTGTTTTTGCAATGCTGGGAAGGGAATCTGGGGCCCCACACATGGCATGCAAGTGTTCTACCACTGAGCTATACCCCCAGCCCCACTACTAGCTATTTTGAAATATTCAATTGTATCAACTGTAGTTATTCTACTGTACTATAGAATATCATATCCAACTGCTCTCCTGAAACCATTAACTGTCCTCTCTCTGTTCCTTGCTTCCATTATTATTATTGTTGTTGTTGTTGTTGTTATTATTATTATTTTCCTCACTAAATTGTTGAGGCTGGCCTAGAACTTGCAATCTTCCTGCCTCAGCCTCCTGAGTCACTTGAATTACAAGCATGTGCCACCACCATTCCTGGTTTTTCCTTATGTATTTTTTTTTTAACTTTTTTTTAGTTGTAGATACACACAATACTTTTATTTATTTATTTCTATGTGGTGCTGAGATCAAACCCAGTGCCTCACATATGCTGGGCAAGCGCTCTACCACCAAGCTACAGCCCCAACCCTCGCTATGTATTTTAAAGAAAATTTATTATTATGTATAATCAGTGAATATGCCTAGTGAACCAGTTATTATCTCCAGTTAATAACAATGGAGAAGAGTAAAGTCAGAGCTGAGTAGATTGTAAAGCTGAAATGGCCTTTTTCTCCTATTCCAGACACTGCCTACCATTTAGACTCTTACTACCACAAATGAATTTTGTCTATTTTTAAGATAAGAAACAGGTCAGGCATGGTGGTGCATGCATATAATCCTGGCAATTCTGGAAACTGAAGCAGGAGGATCACAAGTTCAAGACCAGCCTGAGCAATTTAGAGACCCTGTCTCAAAAAGTGAAAAGAACTGTGGGGGGCTGGGGATGTTGCTCAAGTGGTAGCATACTCGCTTAGCATGCATGAGGCACTGGGTTCGATTCTCAGCACCACACAAAAATAAAATAAAGAGGGCTGGGGATGTGGCTCAAGCGGTATCGCGCTCGCCTGGCATATGTGCGGCCCGGGTTCGATCCTCAGCACCACATACAAACAAAGATGTTGTGTCCGCCGAAAACTAAAAGATAAATATTAAAAAAAATTCTCTCTCTAAAAAAATAAAAAATAAAATAAAATAAAGATATTGTGTCCACCTAAAACTAAAAAATAATTTTTTTTTTAAAAAAAGGACTGTGGATAAAGCTCAATAGTAAAGTGCTACTGGGTTCAATCCCTAGTACCACAAAATAAAGTAGGTAGGTAGGTAGATGGGTAGATAGATGGATAGATTTTTTTTAAAAAGGGGGACTTTGTGAAATCTTTTGCTTCAAGATATGATATAGC